GAGGGGAATTTGTGCCGAACAAATGGGCCAAGCAAAATCAGGTTCGAGTCCTGTTCTTGACCTAGCAACCGGGCCGCAAAGTCCTCAAATAAGACAGACTTAAGTTATGGGTCGAGGTAAGCGAGTTGAGAACGTCATTCTTAACCGAGGTAAAGATCTTAGCCGAGTTACATCGGCATCTCCAGAGCATGGCCAAGCTAAGGTTGAGAGGATGAAGAGGCTCTCGACCGTGCTATGAGTTCTGACGAAAGGTTATTTGAGGCTTAACCGAGTGGTTAGCTAAGCAAGCCGGGTTGGGAAAACTGTGCTTGACAACTTGGAAGAGCCATTCCAATCTTGAGTATATCTAAGGCTGACCGAGGTAGAATTAGCTCGGTAGTAGCATATTACATGGCCCAATTGGAGTGCGAGGAGAGGAACCCGCCGTCTGTACGTGTCAATACTATTTGGTTGTTTTGTCGATTCTGTTTGACAATATTGACGCACACGTGTAAGGTGAAAAGAGGATAGTACATCTATGCGTCCTGGAAAGGGCGAGCAAGGTAGTGCACACACAAGTTATATAAGCCCTGCGGCGCTTCCATGCATAAGGTCTAGAACTTTCCTTACACAGCTACATTTGCTTTTGTCTTTCTTCTCTCTCTAAGGATGCTAACTTGATCGTCGTAGGGATTTTCCGGCAACACATCTACTTGGTATCTCACCATTGTCATGTTTTCAGGTTGAATGACATCATTCGGAGTAATGCGAGGCTTGGACGAAAGGATTACGGAAGCGAAGAATTTTTGGTCCTCGTACAATTGGCGCCTTTTGTGGGAATCCAACAGACAAAGCCTTGACCTCCAAGCTTTTCTGATCACTTTCCATGGCAAACAACGACGACGTTTTGAAGTTCAATATTGACGGCATTATGCCAAAGTCCGTCTTGCGGCACGATGACTTGCTCGTCATGTCGACAATGGTTGGCTTGGAGACCTCCATGTGAGGGTCCGTCAGAGACGCGCGAGACAAATGCGCAAGGAGTTCTAGGTGCTCATTGAGCCCAAAAGGGCGCCGCCGCCGACGAGAGTCACACACTCAGCACTTGGAGAGCAAGCTGAGGGATGAAGACGCCATCATCAGAAAGATGGTGACGGTGATGGAGGCCATGAAGCGCCAGCTGAAAGGAAAGGATGTTGTTGGAGTGGGAAACCATAGTGAGCACACCCAGTCCCACCATTCTGGCAGTTGGAGTAGGCGGCCAATTTCTTCACTTTCCATTTCGACGAGTCTCGGAGCAGACGACTTTGTTGCATTGGCTGTCTCATACTTGAGACAGCAGCTGTTGTCCTTCACATCCGTCGACGATGTTGAGATACTCATAATCCAATCGATCGGGAGATCTGAGGGATATATTAGAGGAGCGAGCGCGCTGACGAGAGGCTTAAAGGGTGTCAGCATTGCAGCGGTTGGCCCCCAGAGGTCGTGCTATTGAGGAGGTCATAATGCCACCGCCGCACCTGGTGGCGCACGTACCACCAGATAGGGATCTAGCAAGTCTGAGCCCCACCTCTTTTTCCCTTGAGATAGAGAACACGCCACTCCCCGTTGGTTTTCACTAGCCAAAATTCACGCTCTATGATGGAAAACTAGTTCGTACATGCACGTGAGCCACTTCTAGCAGGTTATGGCTAGACATAGGCGGAACGATGCACTGATTTGCCTTAGTTTCTCATCAAGTTTGAGATGGTGATTAAGCTCATATATTTGAGCTCTTCTTCAACAATTTCACTGAGGTTAAGCATTATAGAGAGAGAGTGTGTGATTCTGAGAGAGGGGAGGCTCAAATTTGAAGCCTTGAACTAAAAGCTTGGAGATTTGAAGAGCTAGGCTCAAGAACTAGCTTAATTTGGAATAGTTAAAGGCTCTAGGTGAGTAATTGAACCTTAGATTGTGAATTAAAATCTTATAGCTTGTGAATTCAAGAAAACTTTGTAATTTAGTGCAAGAAATGAGCATAGCATGAAGAATTTAGTGTCAAATCATACATGCATGCAAGAAATTGTGAAGGCTCATGCTTTTGAACATAATTTATGATGTTTCAGTTTGAATTCAAAGTCATATTGCACATGCATGCATGAATTGTCATGTTTTAAGGTTCAATTTTAAGACTTGAAGCTTGTGAATGCAAGATATAAAATATGGATTTTACAAACATAAAATAAGGTTTGAATTTTGTTGAATTCATGGAGTTTTGAACAATGGGTTGAAGTTAACTTGAAATATATGTATTTGGGAGTGTTCTTGCATAGTTGAGTGAGTCATGCAAGAATTTGAAGCCTTGGATATGTGTTTGAAGCTCAAAACAGAGTTTTGGAAATTCCAGAGATTCGACAGACTACTCGAGCGACGAAAAGGTAGCTCCAGCGCACATATCAAGCATCCAGTAGTTTTGCAGACAATGGAGGTTGGCTCGAGCGACCAAAATACCGCTCGAATGACCACCCTTTATTTTCAGTCTTGGCTCGAGCAACCAAGAAGTTGGCTTGAGCATAAAATGAGAGCATCCAGTACTTTTGCAGACTTAGTGGTTCGCTTGAGCCACCAATGTTGCGCTTGAGCGAAGTATCCTGTTTTAGAAAATTTTGAAATATCGTGTTATGTTTCAATTTCTATTCTACTTCATTTCTGAGTATTCTTAGGCACACATTGAGCATCCTAAATGAACTAAAGAGTTAGAAAGAAGCCTAAGAAAGATAATCTGTAACACTTGGGTGTTTTAATCTATTGGAAGGTGTATTTAATACCTTTATTTTCATTTTGGGAGTCTTTTAAGTTGTTGTATATTGGTTTTGAAGGAGTACAATCCGATTTAAACTCATTGGGTTTGTTTGTTCGCATTTGTTCTTGTCTAAAAGTTCCTTGGAAACTTAGAAATTCTGTTCTGGGGTCGACACCAGCCTTCCTAAGGGTCGACCCTTGTTGCTGAAATTCTGGAAGTGATGCTAAAATTTAGGGTCGACACTAGCCTTGGTGGAGTCGACACCTTTCTTTTGTTGTTGGCCTCAAAGGTCGACACCAGTCTGAGAAGGGTCGACCCTTGTATATTGCAGAATCTGAGTTTAGGTGCTGGAATTTAGTGTCGACCCTTCTCGTCCAAGGGTCGACACCTTGCCTTGACGGCATTGTCATTTCTTCGTGAAGGGTCGACACCACCAAACCAGGGGTCGACCCTTGCGTGTTTTATTTTTAGAATTTTGGGGTTCTAATGGGCCTTATTTTGGGGGTTTTGGACTTATCATTTTCATTGATCTTAAGGCTACTTTTCTACAACTATAAATAGAACCAAAACGCTCCTCTCTCATAAATTGAGAGGGGTTCAAAATCTGACTTGAGACAATAATGCTCACTAATTAGTTGGAGAAACTATACATTGTGAATGTAGATTCTAGTCATTAGGTAAACAATAATTAAAGCATCATCTACACGAGCATCAGGAACTTCATACAAAATCACCAATCCAAAACTTTCAGTTCGATGAATCACTAGAGTATAAAACGTTTGATGAATTTGCACAATGAAAGCGTAAAATCATATATAAAAAATAAAAAATAAAAATCTCATCATAAGAAGAAAATATTTCAAGTACAAAACCAACAATTACAAACTGAGGCTGAAACTGCATACCCTGTATTACATCCGCTGTCTATCCAACCAGGATGGGGGCACAATAATTTTTGTAACAAAAAAGGGACTAATGACAATAAAACTAAAAAAGGGGACACAAAAGAAGAGTTTTAATATTTCACATGGTGGAGATGACTAAATTGAATTTGACATAAGAACATACTTCAAAACAACAATCTAAACCTTTTTTTGGGATAAGTAAACCAACAGTCCGAGCATATCTATAGAATAAACAATTTCTCAGCCTACAAAAATATGACACAAAATTTGTCCAATAGTGACTTCCTTCAATTTATTTACTACACATAAGAGCAATATTTCCACACATATAGCAAAATTGGAACAAGAATAAATTGCAATGCTAGTGGACTTTATAATATTAATAGTTTAAATAACACTAAGGCAAGTCACTCATCAGTAAGATTGAAAGATCTCAGATCATCATTGCCTTGTGCATTAACCTAAAACAGTAGATGCATAACAAAAATACGGACATACCTACCATCCAATTTGAAAACAAACGAACACATACACACTCTTCTAAACACTCACTCTTCTAAGATCATAAACCATGATCATCAAACAATGCATTAACCTCCATTGGTATCTCCAACCCATTGTCCATAAGAACAAAACTAAACACCATAAACTCCGCAAGATGAACTCATCTTACACACACCTTTATAGCACAAGGAATCATCTATGTTACATAGACTCAAGCATGAGCATTGGTGTGGGTGATCTCCATGCATGGTATGAGCCCTTAAACTTACAATACATTGATATGATCCAAAACTAGCAGCAGATTGCTGAATACATGATGACTAGCATTCCAATACCGCACGCCATTACCCTTGTCTTATCTAGTGCACGCACATTGAATCATAGATTCACAATGTCATCAGTAAGTACAGCTTCATCACATGTCATACACACCTTCACTCAACACCCACTTGCCCAAAACTATGAGAATTAAAAACATCACAACATGACCGACAAAAACCAAAAGCAACAACTACTAAAGATCCCAAACGAAATAATAAAGTGATTCACGGATTCTTTTGCATTCCTGAACATGTGTAACAATTCAAAAGCAAGACTCTTTACAAAAGTATTAATATTCTGGGTGTTTAGTTTATATTCATTCATCATTCTAGTACCCGGTTCTTAGAGCCAACATTTGTCAGATGATGCCAAAATAATTTGAGGCTTTGATAATTTAGAGCATCACAATGACAAGCTTCCAATCCAACTAACACATTGAGTGTTTGTGGCTGGTATTCATATAATAAATATAAGTTAACTAGCCATTTAGATAGCGTGCTGCAAATTCACGCGTCTTTATGTCAAGTCATTAATCTTTATATCATGCAGCATCAATAAGCGAAAATCAGTTATTTGCATACACTTAACACTTTCTATCCTATCTTTGCTTTTTTTCCTTTCTTTTATATATCAAAACCAAGCAAAACAGGTTAAAATTTTGTGTATAAGCACCAAGTAAAACATCACAAAAAAGACAAATATCGAGCAGTTAAATATATCTTATTTTGTTCTTACCTAAAGACACCCACCTAAAGATGCGGGTGGCTGGTGCTCATTGTTCAACAGTCCGTCCAAAAATGCATGGCGCGGCTCCCTGATGGTCGCATGCACCTTGTGAGGTAGTCACCAATTTTTAGATATGGTTCTTTCAGCACTTTCCATGCACTGTTTCGGTGCTTGAATAATACTTGAACACCATCTTCATCAAACCTGCAGCGTTCTATCTCACCGTACTTTTCAAATACTGAATTCACGATCGTCCTATTAGTCATGAAATAGGGGCCAATGCGGTAAGCTACGATATGTCGAAGAGTCGGATCAATCTCAGCGTGCTTGTAGAGGCTCGCTAGTATAGTTGGGGTTTTCATTAGTCCTTCCTTCACTAATGAAACCAGGTTGTAAGTCCCTAACGCTTCCAGAAGCTTCTCGAGAGGCTCCTCTTCTTCTTCCTCAGTGGTGGAGGAGGTGGCAGCGTACTGATTTTCTGGTAACTTATATGGATATCTGAATTCGCATCCCAACACAGGATTGTAACCGGGCAATTGCAACCAGCGGGAAGCATTGGGGAAGCGCCAAAGAGAGGGCAGTATGCACCTGACATAGCTGTCGCCGATCTTATGGGACGGCTCCTTCGCTGCCTCCCACGCCGCCTTTCGCTGCTTAAAGGTAATGTAGCCTCGGCTCTCTGCTTTCCCAACTATCTGATAGACATTGATGGTGCAATTTTCAATTTCTCCATATCTTCCAAAGAAAGAATTCAACGTCTCAGAAGTGAGAGCGGTCTGCCTTCCAAATTGGGACACGAAGATCTCTCTTTGGGCGGGATCAACCTCAGCCAGATTACGAACCCTCTCAATCAAAGGAGGGTCAATGGAGATTGCTTCCATAACCAGAGCCACTAGAGATTCTTTCTGTAAGCTTTCTATAAGGCTGTCTACAGACTCCTCCTCCTCTTCCGCTATTGATTCCTGCAACTCCGGTACTAATTGATTTCGTACGAGCTCCTCCTCCTCCTGTCGATGTTGATTTCGGGTTGGGTTCAAGGGTAGGGAGGGTGATCGGTGACGGATAAGGACACGGCCACGGCCACGGCCACGACCACGACCACGAACACGGCCACGGCCACGGCCACGGCCACGGCCACGACCACGACCATATAGTACCTCGAAAAAAAATAAAATAATATTACATCAAAGGAACCATAAAATAAAATGGAACTTTAAATGAATGAATGACAAAATAAAAGAAGAAAGGTGAAAAATAAATTACTTCACTACATGCAGGACTATTTGAGGTTTGCGAGTGATAACTACATTTTTTGGTATATAAAAATTGTATTTTTTTGAAAAATTATTATACTATTTAGATAATTTTTTTGGTATATAAAAATTGTGTTGTTTTGAAAAATTATTATACTAAAAAATATTATTATACATACCTAAAAATTTTAAAACTTTCATTGTTATGTATTTGTAAAATTTACTACTGGTTTGTAATTTATTTTTATAACTTTTGCTAATATGTTATTTTTTTTTTTTTTGTTAATTTATTAAATAAAAAATGTTGACAAGGGATACTTATCATTTCTAAAATTATAGGATATAATTCTTGTTTAAGCAAAATCAGAGTATGTATTTGTAATTTACCTTAATGGGGTATTTATTTAGAAGGACACGATAAGAGCGAACTGCAATACAATATGTATTGTTAAATTTATTGACTTGTAATCCGACGTTCGCTAAACTAACTAAACGATGAATTAGTAAATTTATTGGACATAGAGTCCGATCCCACACTTCAATCTCATGAAACAAACGCCCCCATGAAAATAAATTGCATTATGACCCCAAGTGTTATGAATTATGTAGGGTCAAGCACGAGGACGAATCAAGCACCAGAACACTGTGAGTAATATCTTAGCAAAGACATTTTGTATATGCATTATTTTCTAAACGATGCCTATGTGGTAAGGTTATAAACCTTTGAAGTAACATTATGAATGAGTATTCTAATCACTTAATTCGGAATGAAATATGCGAAGTGATCAACGTATGGGTATGAAGTGGGCCTAAGGCAGTCAATATATTAAGTAAGGATGTGGATTGGGCTAAAGGTCGTTATGTATAATTGTTAAATGGGGGCCGCAGGCCGTTCAGAATGAGAACTTGAATGGACCTAAGGTCGTTTGGGGATGAATATGTATATGACCATGGATCTAAATGTGTGCACACAAATGTGTATATGAATTAGACCTACGGTCGTTTCGTACGTAAGTTGGACCCAAGTTCGTTTTGCCTATGATGGACTCAAGGTTGTTCTATATGCTACATGGACCCAAGGTTATTTTGTGTTTGGGATATGATGGAAAGGACCTGAGGTCGTTCTGCTTTAATATCGACTATCAAGCATAATAGTGAATTGTGATTATAAGAATCTTGTTCATGAACTCCTTTGTTTTGGTATTATTCACTGGGCGTTAGCTCACTGTTTATATTTATGTATGTAGGTGAGCAGTGGGATGTCCAGCCCCTGCCTCAGTGAGCAATGAGAAACCAACTTTTGAGAGGTCAACCAAGGTCGCCTCACACAAGAGGCTTTACTTTTGTTTTACTTGTCCTTTTGATCTTTGAGGTCACGTATGACCTATTCTATATAACCTTGGTTTTGTTAATACTGATTACTGAATGATCCTGGACTTATGTAATACATACATAATATGAATGTTTGTATGGTGAGAATGTTTTGGTTAAGCCACGTATGCACAGCTCATTGGACAATCTTTGTAAATTTTGCTTCCACAATTTGGCCCCCCTATTATTAAATGTGATTCGATTTCTGACTAAGAATGCAGGTAATCACATGATTACTGGCCAGTTATGACTCTAATCCATAGGGGCGGGTTTGGGTCATGACAGTATAGCTATCTTCGGCCTCTTTAAAGCCCTTGTCCTCAGTTTCCTTCTTAGCGTCAGACTTCTCTTTCCTCAGTTTCTCCAGCTCGGCGCGCACCGCATCCCTTTCCTGCTTGGCACTACCAAGCTAGCCGAGGAGTTTGGTATTTTCAGCGTGTAGGAGAGGGTTCAAGAAAAGAGTTAGAAAATTCGAAGATCTTCGAAGATCCTTGAAGAACAACTTCGAATTCTCTAGAAGATGATGAGAGGCTTAGATTCTTCAATGGTCTCAACTCAAGAACACAAAAGAAAGGAGATGATGAAGATAAGAGATTGGGTGAAGAAGAAGGCAAAATGGCTAGAGAGAGAATAATGGCAAGGCTCTCCCATGGATCTCCCACTTTCACTCTCAAGGTTGATAATGGAAAGGGGAAATTAGTTATTTCCCAAGAGTTAAAAATCTCCAAAAATCCATCCCTTGTAAAGCTATGGGTGGGTGCTATTTATAGGCACCTCATGATGTAGGATGGAGCCCATGTGCAAGGCACATGGGGGATATTCTCTCTAACCACCTTGTCCGAGGAGGTGACCTCTCCGAGGATGAGGAAAACCCCGAAGAGGAGATCAGTCCCTCGGCGAACCCTTCTTCTTAGCCACACCTAACCAATGATCCCCAATCATCCCAAAGGGTCAGGGGTAGTCCCAGAGGACGTCCTGCCGCAAAATATTGCCGAGTCTCAACCCCCCGTGGTCGTGCCACCTCGACCCGGGTATAGGCTAGTTTAACCGAAGAGTGAATTTATCTCCACTCACCGTCCTCGGGATCGGGTCCTTTGTTCGAACTCCATTACGCCCATGGTTCTGGTGCGTAGATCCCGGAAAGCTCCGAGCCCGCAAGTGTTCTGGGACTCGTTAACGAAGCGGCTTCTAGATTGCATCTGAATCCGTTCGAAGCCAAGTGCTTCGGATCTCTAGATTCGTAGGTCCGAATCCTTTCGAGTCCGAGTGCCTCGGATCTCTAGGCTTGTTCAATACCCTTTCGAGTCCGGGCCCGAGTAAGTTTCTAAGTCTCTAAGTTCGTGGATCCAAACCCCTTCGAGGCTTAGAGTGATTCAGCCCGTTTGATGGCGATAAATCCGAGCCCACCAATCTTGGACGTGCGATAAATTCGGACCCACTAATCTTGAACTATTGGGCCTAATTAATTTAGTGGGCTTAAATTAGCTCCTCTTACATTTGCCCCTTGCGTGTATGAGAAATTGTCATTTTCTCGGACATGCATAATTTCACCTTGTCAGCCATGCTTCACATTATGTCTTCGGGAATGTTTGGTTTTGACTGAGTCTAAAGATAAAGCTGAGGATTCACCGTAATTTACAGATAAAATCGATAAATAACATTAAAATAAATAAATAAATGAGTAACTTTTTTTTTTTTTGATGCAACTGATTTGTTTTTACAACATGTGAAAACATAAAATAAATAAAACACCCATTTTTCTTGAAGAGATAACGGCTACATACATTTTTTTTTCTTTCTCAAATATTTGAAACCACTAAAATCAATCAGGTTCTTTATTTATATATACATATATATGGAAGCTAAAGACAAAATCCACCATTTTTATCCTTTTTTGCAAATGTGAGCTCACTTTTTGAAATGTACTCAGCAAAAAAATAAATAAAATTTATTTTGTGGAGTCCAATCATCCAAACCCACTGTTCTTCTTTCTTCAAATTTAAAACCCGTAATTGCTTGGGCTGTTATATATATATATATGTGTGTGTGTGTGTGTGTGTGTAGAATATTTGAGAGGATATTCCATCACACCCCTTTTTTTTATTCTATTTAAAGAAAAGGATAGTAACCCTAATCAATGTAGCCTCTCTTTTATTTTCTTGCACAGCCATTTCGGCACTCTCTCTCACTAAACAGAGGGATCAAGCTTCTTTCTTCTTCCTCAAAACTGGCCCAGCTTTATTCTTCTTCAATCGGAGCCCGCGGCTGCCAAACCCAAAGGCCACCTTGCCTAGCTTGTTTTGTGAGTACTGAAGGCCACCGACTCCTGCACATTGGCTGTGGCTACTCCAAGTGCTGCCATTACGAAGCTGACTCTCTCTCTCCAAGACAAACCCAGATTTCAACATTTTCAGAGAGGCTCTATTTCTGCAATAACAGAGGTCGACACCAACTCCTTGCATCCACGACATCTTTTCTATTTATTTTTATTTTTTTTTGTGCTTCATCTTCCTTACTTCACTATCGAAATTTTTCAGGTTGTACGTTGTTCATCGCCTCCGCTGCAGCTTCATCGCCAACCCACTGTCGGCCTCTCCGTTGCGACCTCTCTGCCAGCCTTGACTGTTGTTCCGGTACCCACCACACACGTCGCCCGTTCAATGCGTCGTGTGTGGTCACCAACTCCTCTACGGCACCATCACTACATCCGAACTCGATCGTCCAATGCCGCTTTCGGACTTGATCGTCCAACGCCGACTATGCACGTCGCCCTTTCAACGCGACGTGTGTGTGGGCCTGCCTAGCACTGCTTAGCTCGGCGTCGGCCTTAGGTGTATGCGTCTCACGTTTGCGGTCTTGCCTGTGCAACGCGTCGTGTGTGGTCATCAACTCCTCTACGACACCATCACTGCATCCGAACTCGATCGTCCAATGCCGCTTTCGGACTTGATCGTCCAATGCCGACTATGCACGTCGCCATTTCAACGCGACGTGTGTGTGGGCCTGCCTAGCACTGCTTAGCTCGGCGTCGGCCTTAGGTGTATGCGTCTCACGTTTGCGGTCTTGCCTGTGCTGGCCCTACGCATGCTGCTCGCGCCTCCACCGACCTGCTCTGAAACCCATATTTGGACCTTCATTTTTGGTGAGCCTTGGTCTTCCTCTCAACTAATTCCATTCCCTTCACTGTATTAGATTTGTAAATACAAGCTTAAAACCCTTTTTGTCAAACCCATTCTCAGCCCACTCTCTCTAACAGAGACAGATTCAGAGTTCGTCTTCTTCAAGGGGCTCTGCTTCGCGGTTTGCTCACTACCGACTGCTGCAATTCTGGGCACCGACTGTTGTAACTCTGAGTGCGTCACCAACCTGTCACAGCCCCGACTACTGCAGATGTCGTGACCCAAGCTGCTACTGACCTCTCTTTGCTGCAACTCTGACCACTGTTGGCTTCAACGGTCCCAACGCAGACCACACACGTTCGCCCACTCAACGCAACGTGTGTGGTTTTGCCCAGCCTAGCTCAATCTTGTTGATCTTGATCGACGCCGACTCCGCTACGTCTTCAACACTGCCTTCGTCCTCAACTGTCCAACACCGACCACGCATGTTCGCCCACTCAACGCAACGTGCGTGGTCTTGCCCAGCCTAGCTCAGTCCTGTTGATTACAGTCTATAAAACCTTTCTGATTTCAACTTGAATTTCTAACATCGGCTTCAGACTTCACCCCTCTAACAGTCCCAAATTTGTGAGTATGAAATTCGGCTCCCTCTTCCTCTCGTTGAATACATAAATATATTTATCACTCCATGTTTGATAGTATTGAAAGGAGTAGAATAAACAAAAATTTTTGTTGTTGTTGTTGTTGTTGTTGTTGATACTCGATGGAATGATTTCAGTAATGAAACTCGTAATGTTGAATATAAATTTTGTTATCGAATGATTGATTGTTGCAACCCTGAGAATATTAGATATCATGCTTGAACTCCTGACGTAGAATTCATCGTAGGACTTGTTGATATGATGAAATACCTCGTTGAATAATAAAGATGATATATTGTGGTTTGTTTAACTTGTGGATGCTTGGGAAATACATAGCTGATGTCAAAATTTTGTGTGACCGTTGTAGCTTTACGTCGGCTTGAGAGGAACCGACCCGAAGAGACAAAAACTTGATTGTTGCATTTTCATAAACTTGCTCAGAGTAATAAAATTGTTGTAACTTAAATAGATCATTATTATTTGTTGATATTGCCCCATTCCGATAATGCCTGAATCAGGTTATGAAATTGATATTGCTCATCTCATTTGTCGGTTTTACTATTTCAGACAAATAAATTCTTGATTGAGATCCACGACCTCGGGGCCCTTAGAACCCGCACTAATGAGAGCAAGGGCTCGGAGGTCCGAACAAAAGCAAGACTGTCCCTCGGGAGTCCGAAGGTAGCACACACCCTACTTTGGCAAGAAAGATTCCTCTGGAAGATAACCGAGTCTACCAAGCTTGCACCAACAGAAGTAAAGACTGTCTCTCAGAAGTCCGAGCAGAAGTAAGGCTGTCCTTTAAAAAGGTCTTCTTCTCTAATGGAAGCAAAGGCTATCTCTCGGGAGTTCGAGTAAGAGTCCACTCTACTTTGAAAAGAAAGATCCTCGGAGCTCGTATTGATGAAATCAAGGGCTGTTCTTCGGACCCGCACTAATGAGAGCAAGAGTTGTCCCTCGGAAGGCTCTCCCTCAGAAGTCCGAGCAGAAACAAGGCTGTCTCTCGGAAGTCCGAGTGGATGTACACTTCTACTTCGGCAGCTAATGGAAGCAAAGGCTATTCCTCAAATCTCGCACTGGCGGAAGTGAAATCTGTTCTTCAAAAGTCTGAGGCGGAGAACACACTCTACTTTAGTAAGAAAGATCCTTGAGGCTCGCATTGATGGAAGCGAGGTCTGTTCTTCGAAAGTCTGAGTGGGAGCACACACTCTACTTCAACAAGAAAGATCCTCGAAGCTCACGCTGATAGAAACAAGATCTGTTCTTCGAAAGTCTGAGTGGGAGCACACGCTCTACTTCAGCAAGAAAGATCCTTGAGACTCGCACTGATAGAAGCGAGGTCTGTTCTTCGAAAGTCTGAGTAGGAGCACACACTCTACTTCAACAAGAAAGATCCTCGAAGCTCACGCTGATGGAAACAAGATCTGTTCTTCGAAAGTCTGAGTGGGAGCACACGCTCCACTTCAGCAAGAAAGATCCTTGAGACTCGCAATGATAGAAGCGAGGGCTGCTCTTCGGAAGTCCGAGTGGGAACACACACTCTGCTTCAATAAGAAAGACCCTCAAAGCTTACATTGATGGAAGCAATAGCTGCTCTTCGGAGGTCTGAGTGGGAGTATACTTCTACTACGTCAAGAAAGGTCCCTTCAGGTTGGTAACCGAGTCTACTATTCCTCTTTCTTCTTCGAGGGGCAGTAAAAAATTGAAAACTGTTTCAAGCAACATAACACAATGAAGACATACACTGTAGAGAAAATAACTTCTAATGGAGATACATAATATGGAGGAAATAAATTTCTTCATAACATAAGAAAGATAGAACTTCTTGGACAATGTAGTAAATGCAAACTGTAAATGTCATAGATAGACTTCTTCTACGGAATGTTGAAATTTGCCCCTAGAGTTGCAAGATCATTTGGAAAGCTTTCACCAGCTGCTCGGGTTGTGGCCATCATGCACCATCATAAATAGTACACCATCTTGCCTCCTTCTCGAACTTTCATCACCTTCCGAGGAATAGGCGGACTTTCTGGTCTAGACATTGCCCGCTTACTTGACTCTGCCATCAGCTCCTTGTCATCTTTGATATCCTCCCAACGAGGAATTTTGACCCCTCGAGGCTTAGAGGTGGTGGGAACTTCTTCGACAGCCAGTTCTCAGTTTTCCGACTTTGCTTCTGAGTTGCTCGAGGACTTCTCCTCTCCAGTCCTCTGGAAGGCCTTTGTCTTCGGGTATTATTGAAGGTTCTGTTCTCTTCTTGATAACAATTGTTGCCTCTTCCTCTGGAATGTCAACTCTTGCCCCTAATGTTGCGAGGGCATCTGAAAACTTGTTGTCGGAGCGAGGCACATGCTCTATTTCGACCTTCTGAAATTTGTCAAGAAGCCTTTGGACTGTTGTTCGATATGTGGCCAAGGCAGGCTCCTTTAAGACGAACTGTCTTGAAACTTGCTTCACTATCAACTTTGAGTCCCCCCGAATCCGAATCTTCTTGATACCGTGCTTCTCAGCTGCTATCAAGCCTAACATAAGAGCCTCATACTTGGCTTCATTATTCGAACAATGGAAATCCAGTTTATAAGATAAATAAAACTTTTCCCCACTTTTACTTCTAAGGACTATCCCGGTTCCTCTTTTACCTCCGGCTGTTGCTCCGTCAAAGCTCAATGTCCAAAAGCTTTCCTCGGAAGCCATAGCTGCATGCACCTCTCCTCTTAATTTTTCATTCACTGGTTCATAGTCACCACTTGGAAATTGAGCAAGGAGGTCAGCTAAGGCTTGGCTTTTGATTGCCTTGGGAGCTACACATGTGATCTCGAATTCACCCAGTGCTAACAACCATCTTGCCACCTTCCCGGTTAGAGCAGGCTTGCTGAGGAGGTATCGGATTGGATCACTTCTAGTAACAATCTGAATCTGATGTGCTGAGAAGTAATGTCTGAGCTTTTGGGCAGTGAATACCAAAGCTAAACAATGTCTCTCTACCAGAGTATATCGGACTTCTGCTCCTCAAATCTTTCGGCTGATGTAATACACCGGGCGTTCTGCTCCATCTACATCTTGGACCAATAATGCCCCTATGGACTTGGGGGTTGAAATTAAGTACAACATTAGAGGCATCCCGGGCTGCGGGGCTATCATGGTCTGAGGCAAGGTCAAGGCCGCCTTGATTCTCTCAAAGGCCTTTTGGTGCTCCTGGTTCCACTCGAACTTGGCATCTCCTTTTAACAATGAGCCGAAAGGGGCAGAGATCTCTGCAAGTGCTGGGATAAACCTCGGAATATAAGACACCTTCCGGAGGAACTTCTTTAACTCCTTCTGAGAATGTGGGGGAGGCATTGCTCTGATAGATTTGACCTTGTCTTCATCTGCCTCGATGCCATGTCTTTGTACAAGAAACCCGAGGAACTTCCCGGCCATCACCCCGAAAGCACATTTGAGAGGATTCATCCTCATTTTGAATTTCTGGCACCTCTTGAATACCTTCTCAAGGTCTCGGAAATGGTCTTCTTCTTTCTTGGATTTCACCACTAGATCATCAACATAATCTTCCACCTCATGATGGATCATGTCATGAAAGATTGCAGTCATAGCCCTTTGGTAAGTTGCACCGGCATTCTTGAGTCCGAAAGGCATGACTGTATAGAAGAAGTTTCCGAGAGGTGTTCTAAAAGCAGTCTTTTCTGCGTCCTCTTCAGCCATCTTAATCTGATTGTATCCACTGAATCCATCCATGAATGAGAACATCTGGTGTCCCGAGGTGGCATCCACGAGGGTGTCGATGTGAGGAAGCGGGAATTCATCCTTCGGGCAAGATTTTTTCAAATCTCGAAAGTCTATACATACTCTGATTTGGCCATTCTTCTTCTTTACTGGCACGATGTTTGCTAACCACGTGGGGTACTATATTGGCCGGATGAAACCAGCCTATTGAAGTTTTTCAATCTCCTCCTTAATCTTCTCTTCGAGATCTGGATGATATTTTCGAGCAGCTTGCTTAATTGGCTTGGAGTTTGGGAACACATCAAGATAGTGGGAGACTAGGTCAGGATCTAGTCCGGGCATTTCCTTATATGACCAAGCAAACACATCTGAGTATCGGCTTATCAACTTTAACAACTGTTCCCGCTTCTCTGGGCTAAGGCTCGAACTTACGAATACCGGCCTCGGTGCATCTTGTCCATCACTCAGATCTATTTCAATAAGTTGTTCAGGCTGAGGCTTCGGCCCATCTTGCATACATTTTGGAGCCACTTCAGGCTTTATTACTATATCATTGTCAGGAGGGTCTTCTTTTGACTCGGAGTCGGTGACTGAAGAAACCGACTCCCCGCACCTTCATAAATAGTACACCATCTTGCCTCCTTCTCGAACTTTCATCACCTTCCGAGGAATAGTTGGACTTTCTGGTCTAGACATCGCCCGCTTACTTGATTCTGCCATCGGCTCCTTGTCATCTTTGATATCCTCCCAACGAGGAATTTTGACCCCTCGAGGCTTAGTGGTGGTGGGAACTTCTTCGACAGCCAGTTCGGTGAAGTAGATGGCATCAGAATAATGAGCTTCATGGATCTCGAAAGGCCTTTCTGTAGCCTGAATTGTCACCGTCTTCTTTCCCCATTTAGCCTTAACACACTGATGATAACTTGATGGTACAGCCCCATATCTATGCATCCAGGTCCTCCCTAGAATGATGTGATAATTTGCCTCAGAATCGATAATATGGAACTTGGTGGCCGAGTGAATCTCTCCGATGGCTAAATCAACTGTTACGCATCCGATAGTAACTCTCCTTTCTCCATCGAAGCCAGTGATACTATCGGCTGCTTCACAATGCTTTCTTCAGAGATTCCGGCCTTTTCTAGAGTAGCGCGAGTCATAATGTTGATAGAGGCTCCACTATCTAGAAAGGCCCTTTTGAACTCAACTCTGTTAATAAAAGCAGTCACATAAAGCGGGCGACTGTGAGAAAAAGGATACTTCCGATCAGCCTCGGAGAAAGTAATGGCACTAGATTGCTTTTTTGCCCTCCTCGGGATAGACCCCTTAGTCGACACGCATTTCTTATGGTGTGCCTCGGCTATATTAATGATAGACTTGGTGATTTCCGTTCTTGCCTCCCTGGAAAGTCCAAGCTGGTCAAAGAACTGCTTGAACTTTACACAGTCTTGCAAGGTTTTGGCATAGTGATCCAGATCTTTTTCCACTCTTGGAGGCTCGTAGTTAACCATCTCCTCGGTCTCCTCAAAATAAGATGCCACATAAACATGGTGTCCTCCTTTTCCATAGTACTCTTCTCCTCCTTCTGGATCAAAGGGATCTTCGCCATGAGTCATAAATGTTCTTCCCTCTGGATCGAGAGCACTTCCATAGTAAACTTGCTCACCCTCTAGCTCGAGGATGTCGTCCAGATAACAGTCATCGTCATCGAGATTGGCGATAGCCTCGATCATCGGGCCTTCATAAGCTATCATAGCAACATTCTTGCCCTTGTCTCGGTGTTGAGGATATGGTTGTTCTCGGATATCTTGAGTCCCTTTCTTTTTGAACCTCAATTCGTCTGCCTCGACTTTATCTCTGAAGATTTTCCTGAGAGTCCAACACTTCTCTGTCGGATGTTTCAATGTACGATGGTAGACACAGAATTCAGAGCTCTCACGGTCATTTTTGGATGGCATTTCTTCAACATAAGGCAATTTTAGCTCTCCGTCAGCCACCCATTCCTTAACTAGAGCTTTCACTTCCTCGATTCCACATGGATAAGAAACATTCCCCTTTTCACCATTATATTGCTTCATCTTCTGGCCTCTATGACCTTCTCCTTGTGAATTTCGGGTATCTGGGGCAGAGGCAGCAGCAACAATAGGTCCACGAGACGATTTGAAACTAGTCTTGTAATTGGCCTTAAATCCGGACTCCTGAGCCTGAGGAATGCTAATGTTCCGAGCTGCTTCTATTAATGCCGAGAAGGTGGGTAGCTTGTGGTTAACTAGAAACATTTTGTACCTGCTCAATGCCCCTTCTAGACAAATTTGAACCAGATAACTCTCCTCAACAGCTTCATGACAATCCACGGCCTTGTCCTAAAACCTGTTGACGTAGTCAAGGATGTCTTCTCTTTCTTGTTGCTTCTCTTTACACAATGTAAGTGTGGTCACCTTCTCCGCCACTTGAAAGAACTTGGAGTGGAATTTGTTAACCATTTCCTCCCAACTTCGAACAGAGTTTGGGGCCAAATTAACATACCAACTATATGCTCAGTCGGTGAGGGACTTAGAGAATTCTCTCAGTCGGAGGACGTGGTTTGAACCATGAATACCCAAAGTCTCGATAAATCGCACAACATGTTCTCGGGCATTTCCTTGTTTGCCGTCGAACTTGATGAACTTCGGCACTGTATACCCCTCAGGGTATGGATAGCTCAGCATCTCAATAGAGTAAGGCGGCTTGACGTCTGGATCAGGCAAAGAGGGTAAGGTCCTCTTGCCCCGTTCGAGATCGAACATGGCCTGCACATCGGCAAGAGTGAGAAACTGTTGAGGGAGAGAGTTTGATGGTGGTATTCCCGGGACTTGGCTTATGTACCCGAAAACTGAGCTAGGGGCGTCTTGGCCATTCCTGTGCTGCTGCGAATTCATCATTGGTGAGGACATGTGACGATACTGGCCATCAGCGCCTAAAGACAAGCCAGTTGGTGATGGGATATTGAATTGAGGCCCATAGAGTCCACCGCACGGCGCCGCTATACCGGGTTGTGAGAAACTCCCCTAGTCACCATTGGATCTTGGCTTGGCACGCCATGGAGCCCGGGCATGGGCAAACTGCTGTCGCCTACTGTGGTTTGAGCATGTGTTACTGTGGCCGTGTTACCATGAGCCATAGGCTGATTGGGGCCTACTTCTCCTTGGATTTGATTTTGTGCTCCGGCGGGAATAACTCCATCACCAGTTTGATTTCCGTTTGGTGCCGGTGCAAAGTTAGAACTCATCACCAACATGGTGTGAGTGAGATTCTGAAGAGTGGTAAGAATCTCTTGCTGAGTATTTTGAAGTCCTTGAATGGCTTCAAGTAAAAGTGGTTGATCTGGAGCCATGGTCCTGTCATCACCACCATTAGAGGATCCTTGTTGGTGAACTTCATCTTCTCCCGCCATCCTTGTTGGAGTTGTGTGGATTCCAGATCTCGTTGAGACCATTAACCAATCCGCCTCCCCAGTGGAGTCGCCAAAATGTAGGAGAGGGTTCAAGAAAAAAGTTAGAAAATTCGAAGATCTTCGAAGATCCTTGAAGAACAACTTCGAATTCTCTAGAAGATGATGAGAGGCTTAGATTCTTCAATGATCTCAAATCAAGAACACAAAAGAAAGGAGATGATGAAGATAAGAGATTGGGTGAAGAGGAAGGCAAAATGGCTAGAGAGAGAATAATGGCAAGGCTCTCCCATGGATCTCCCACTTTCACTCTCAAGGTTGATAATGGAAAGGGGAAATTAGTTCTTTCCCAAGAGTTAAAAATCTCCAAAAATCCATCCCTTGTAAAGCTATGGGTGGGTGCTATTTATAGGCACCTCATGATGTAGGATGGAGCCCATGTGCAAGGCACATGGGGGATATTCTCTCTAACCACCTTGTCCGAGGAGGTGACCTCTCCGAGGATGAGGAAAACCCCGAAGAGGAGATCAGTCCCTTGGCGAACCCTTCTTCTTAGCCACACCTAACCAATGATCCCCAATCCTCCCAAAGGGTCAGGCGTAGTCCCAGAGGACGTCCTGCCGCAAAATATTACCGAGTCTCATGGACCCCCCGGGGTCGTGCCACCTCGACCCAGGTATAGGCTAGTTTAACCGAAGAGTGAATTTATCTCCACTCACCGTCCTCGGGATCGGGTCCTTTGTTCGAACTCCATTACGCCCATGGTTCTGGTGCGTAGATCCCGGAAAGCTCCGAGCCCGCAAGTGTTCGGGGACTCGTTAACGGAGCGGCTTCTAGATTGCATCTGAATCCGTTCGAAGCCAAGTGCTTCGGATCTCTAGATTCGTAGGTCCGAATCCTTTCAAGTCCGAGTGCCTCGGATCTCTAGGCTTGTTCAATACCCTTTCGAGTCCGGGCCCGAGTAAGTCTCTAAGTCTCTAAGTTCGTGGATCCGAACCCCTTCGAGGCTTAGAGTGACTCAGCCCGTTTGATGGCAATAAATCCGAGCCCACCAATCTTGGACGTGCGATAAATTCGGACCCACCAATCTTGGACTATTGGGCCTAATTAATTTAGTGGGCTTAAATTAGCTCCTCTTACACAGCGTTAGCCATCTCTAATGAAGCTTTAGCTCGCCCCAACTCAGTTTTAAAGTACTTCCCTTACGCAGTTGTGTCAGCCACTTTCTACCGCAACTTCACAACTTGGTCCATCACATGATGGGTATTCTGAATTACCTGCAAGAAGAAAATGTTAGAAGGCGAGA